AGAGAGAGAAAGAGAGAGAGAGAGAGAGAGAGAGAAAGAGAGAGAACGGCCGATTGGGATACCGTTCGAGGTTATGGAAAACTTATTCCGCCTAATCGATGAAGTAGTGTCGATTGAGGTGAATTCTTGATTTAGATAAACTTACATTAAAAACGCAACGAATGCGAATGCTATCGTGATTCGATTGAAAGTTAAGGCGCTCGAGAAATATTTTACCCCCCCCCATAAATCGATGAAACATTGTTTGAAGTTTTCTCATATACAGACGGCGAGAGACTGCAATAATTAATGTATTAACATTTATGTGAGAAATAGGAGCGGGGATTACAAATTAGCTAATTATTTCGCTCACCTACTTGCATTATATCTTTTCAGAGCTCCTTTTTGAACGAAAACGTTTTTTCTCGCGGTTTCATTGCAAGATATGATTTATTTCCTGCTGGTAAAACGAATAAATTACCATAAGACCGACGAAAGTTTTCAGCGGGAATAAGATTCAAGGAGCGAGCGTGCGTATTCGACATGCGTGCGTGTCGTTGCATGTGTGTGTGGAGATGCATGCGTGTGTGCACACGTGTACGAGACGACCGAGTATACGTCTTTAAGCCGAGAACGAACTCTCTTCTCGTTACTCGCGATTCCCGACGAGCAGATTAGAAATTCGTGACTTCGCTGGAACGATATTCGCTCGGGTACTTGCGTTGGAAAACATTACGCAAAGAAAATTGCGTTATCGCGCTCGCTATTTTGAGTGGAATTTCGCGCGACCCTTTCGATTTCGCGCCGACTCGTTCGAGCGGAAACCGTATTCACGGAGAGTGATCAAACATGGCAAAATTCAACGATAAAACCAGTTTGCTCTCGTTGTCATTGCTATCGAGATGGAAAAACGATGAGGCAGGAAGGCGCACAGGATGCGACAAGTAGCGAAAGTCCTGTCTTTATTGCAGTCTTCGAAGCGACTCGCTTTAATGCTCGCATTCCTCATTTTTATAGATCCTTTTCTCTGTTCACTCAAATGAATCTGAATCATCAGCCGCGCATATTATTTATACCTTGTGGCAGTTCATCAGTTTGTTTATATAACTAATAAACATTGAAGGAGATGCTGCATTTTAAGAGTAATGAATGCCACGAAACTTTTTCTTTAAGCTATCTCAGACTGACGTGCATGAACTGTCGCAAGACAACAATGATATTTTGACTGCGGGCAGGAGTCGAGAGCTCCTTCTGAATAAACACTGTGATTAGGGTCGGTGAGGTAACACAAATTTCATTAAATTCGTTGAAATGTCGTGGCGCTTCGCTTTCTTTGCTTTCGATCAACGTAACGCGCACAAGTATCCACAATATAACGCTGGAAATTAATAAAACATATAGGTACATAGTGCGTTTCACCGTAGAATAGGAAAACATTATGTACAAATATTATGCTTAACGTTATGAAAATTTTTTTGCAAGATCAACAGCCGCGAGAACCTCTTACTTCGAAAAAAAATGAAAAAAAAATCAATATCCTGATTTTTCAGAACCATTTCGATCTTTTCGATTACGCAGCTCCGGCGAGAGTGGAGAAGGTAATTTGGAGCGCACGACGCAAACACAGATGAAAAGGCGATCAAACCTGTCTCTCTCGGCTCCGCTCGTTTTTCGCTAATCCCTCATGAAACCCACCGTCCTCACATCGACTGGCACTTGAAATTGCAAATTCACCAAAAATACCGTACGATTACGAATGAGAGGTACGGGCACCTCGTCGAACAAAACTAACGGTAACGTGCGCCCGGAAAATGCGGTTTTCGGTGGGACCGCGAAGACGAGACGACAGTTTTTCGTGCGGGTGCAGGTCGAGATCGCGGCGTCCGGTCCGGCCAGAAGACTGCGCGATGGAAGTGGAAAAGCCACCAGCAGGAGCGTTGCGCTCCGACCACCATCGTCAGGTTGAGAGCTTTCTACAGCCGACGATGAGACTAAAGGAGGGAGTCGAACGGTGCATTGGCGTCTTCGGGGCCTGACCGGGCATAGGCGTAATTCCACTGGAGACTTGAGGACCTAGAGACTGGGAGAGAAAGGCATGAGAGACTTGGCGAACAAGCACGGCATGTAGAAAGACACCTGCGTCGCCACCTGACAGAACAAGACGCTCTTGTGTTCGTAGCCCAGGTTCGATATCGATGCTGTAAGGTCATTGCTGCGTGCGGCAGCACGCAATCATGATATTTACTCTCGGCCTGAAATAGTCACCAGATCAATCTACGACTGTACTTCGCAATGAGACACCCAGACATGTAATTACATCGAGACCGACGTATGTGAATGATTATATATAGTCGCGACTTGCTTGATTTCAATTGATAATTCTTGACAATTATGGGTGGCGCGTTAGGGATTGCTGGTGCTCGAGCTTCGTGAACGATCCGACCGCGATTAGATGACAGATAGGAGTGCATGAAATCGGTTGAGGATCGGTTAAATGAATAGTTAAATTTTTATGACATTTGCATTCGACACCTATTGTCACGATTGTTTCACGTTATATTTAAAGAATCATGGAACGGGGGCGTTCTATCCAAAGGTCTCTCATTGCCTTCAGGGTATATATTCCGTATCCGTCGTTAGTCCCTTCGTCCATCTGTCACTGACCTGAAACCTAGCGTGCACACCACGAAGGATATGTATATGAGAGATCAATCAGAAGAGCCGAGTGAAAGTGGAACGTCAGGCGTTAATATCTTGACAAAGGATGCTGGGAATAGACGTAGGCGACACGCATGCCTCGGGGATGTTTCCAAGCGGTAATGATTCCGCGTATCGCGACATCGCACCGCGGCGAATCCTGGTGAAATGTAGGAAGCTGGTTCTCCTCCGTGTCGAATCTTTCGTAATCCTCATACACAGAGACGCGACACACGGTCGTCATCGAGTTTTCAATAAATTACCTTCAGGGTCGCGGTTCAAGTGGATAGCGTTGCCGATACCGAAGGGAGTAACCGGATCTCTAGGCGACAATCGCGCGATTAAAGCACCGTTAATGTCATTAAACACGCAGAATTTGCATGCTACTTATTGACGAGTGACATTTAAAGAAAATAGCAATACGTCATCTACAATACAGATGCGAAGATTTCCTCGGGAACGTAATGGTCGTTATAAAGTGGTTGTAAGAATTGTCATACTCTCGACGTTACGTCATGTCACATCAAGCAAGAGATTCATTGCATTTGTATTATAATGGACAACAAAATCTAATCGATTATTTATCTTGCTAATTTATCTTTAAATATACTTATATTCATATGATGTACATTTGATTTATTCTGCTAGTTAAAATAAGAAAAAATTCTGACGCTTTAATATTCACAGCTTCTTATTTTTTAGAGATTAACTGGAAATGAACTAGAGATAAATTCTTTGCTGTCAGTCGAGCAGATGTAATTGCCTTAGTTGCTAGAATCAAATAAATTACGAACGCTGATCTGACTTCTGTTTGTTCTTGAGAAAGATTTAGAAATGTCATCAATAATTTGCGGAGCCAAATGGAAAATCCTGCTTGCTACAAAGAAAGGATCGAGTGTCTGGCCTCGTGTCACAGATATTTGTACGAGGTCCATGACGCTTTCTTGGCCACTCGAGAAGTCGACGAGTCCTTCCTTCCTCTATCAGTGGCCATCAAGGACGACGCTTCTCATTCCTCGTTTTCTTCATTTTCCTCTTTTTGCTTGAATTACGACTCACTACTATACTCATTCCCAATCATAGGCTTTCTTCGCACGGAAGGTCGAGTACGTAAAATCAGGTTTGGTGTTTTTTGTATCGCCGGTCGAAAGGTTGTTGTCCTTAATGATTTTTATAATTTAGTTTGATTTTTTTAATACGAGAGCGCAACATTATCTTCAGCAAACATATATAACTACGCGCTTTCCACGCTCCAATTATCTTACATCGATATAAATCGTGCTGCACCTTACTGAGTTTTAATTTAATATTTTAATTTATAATTTTCCTATCCTCTCTCAGTTTATATCGGAGTACAACCGACCGGATGAGACATCGCAAATAGTGCATTAAAAGTAGAAGTCGATCAATTCTCCTGTCACTTTTACTACCGCCGACGTTAAGATCTCCTGCATTTAACGAAATAATCTTTGATCGCGTTATCCTTGAGGTTTTATATAAAAATGCGTTTTCATGTGGAAGAATCTATAATCGAGCCTGATGAATCAACGACAATAAAAGCTATATTGACAATTTAATGATATTTAGAAGTATTCGAATGAAATGATTGCGTGATGAGCTATAAAATCATGCAAGCATATTCCTGGATCAAGAGGTCGAAATTACGAAAGAGGCTAAAACGTTACGGGTGTTCCAAGTACCGAGATGCGCATGTAAACTGTAAACGTAAAACTGTAACATCGTTACTAGTGAGAGAAAGATAGAGAGGAGGGTGGGGTTCGGCTGGTCAGCCACAACGAGCTCTCACTTTCTATTGTCCAATCATGCCAAGAAATTGTCAGGCATGAATTTAATTTAACGCTCTTGTCGCAGACAACAGTGTTTCTTTGATCGCGATAATTTTGCAATTAATTCCTTGCTAGAAGAAATTTGTATTTTTTAATTTACGATTTCTTTTTGCAGTATATATACATTTTGATGATACTTTTCAGAAATTTCGTGTAAAACGTAGCGCTAGGAATATGCGGTTAAAAACGGAGCATTTTTTTAGTTTCGTGAAAATATAATCGTTCGTATAATGATTTATAGAATCACAGAGAAAATTTCTAATCCTTTTCGCAAACTCTATTTTATTTAACAGCGATAAATAAGGTAGACATCTCTGTTACTTTCCTGCATCGGCAAACTAGGGATTCGCGTATTACTTTCACCTTCCTCTTAGCAGACGAGTTATATCTTCGATGGTGTTACGCGTTCGCGAGAAGCTTATATATAAAAAAGTTTATTAATATACATACAACTATTTATAAAAAATGTAGGAGTTATTAGATTTTATTTCCATTCACATCTCTATAAAGTTCGTCGTTGTTGCCGTAAAGTCTCGGTGAATCATTGCAATCAACCTGTAATGTTAAAATTCATTAAAAGAAAATCGAAATTAGTTTCAGATAATTGTATGCATTTAAAAATTCTATGTATTAAATAGTTTAAATACCTTAAACCACCAGTCACAAACCCGAGTGGTTTGACTAAACACTGTACCATTTGGGCAAAGGAAACTGAACAGACGTCCATTTGGCAAGCACCAATGCCACACCTTAAATGAAAAAGTAAAATATTAATCTTATATTTTCAATTATTACCCCTTATAATAAATTTTCCAATTTAACTTAAATGCTCTTCTAATATTTTAAAAAATAAATAAAGCATAAATTTATATTTTTCTCCAAACAATATTCAATTATAATATTTTGTATATTCTTATAAAATAATCTGCAGATAATATTTGTTTAAAATATTTTAATTTTCTTCTTTTTAATGCATTTTTCGAAAGAGATTAATGAAATCCTATTAAGTATACGAAACGCATTTAAATAATCTGGAAATATTGAAATGAGAATTTGTTCGGTGACCATATGGACGCACCTGACATCTGGCCTCGGGATCGGCATAATATCCAGGTAACTTTCCTCCACAGGTAAACGCGAGTCCGAACGGCACCGAATTGTAAATTGGATAGTCCACGCCAGGTGTATAACCATCCACTTGCTGCAACGCATAAATAATTATGCGTGTTATACATAGATAACTATCGCTTTTTAACAGATGTTACCAATTCGCTCACAATCGTTTCCCTTGAAATGAATCCTTTATTATTATGATTTATTATGAGCTTTTTAAGTGATTACGTAATTATTGCACTGTGAGGCACATTCTAATTTGCATTGTAAATCTCGGTGGTTGCATTGAAACAATTAGCGAAAATAGTGGAACTTGGAGAAGCATAGCCATGAGTTACTGTTATTGTTCTGTTGGAACAATAACAATACGTTTCGACATGTATCATCTCGACAATAGAATATGGAATGAATATACATGCTGTAAATCGGACTTCCTGTCTCTTAAAAGCGAGCACGCATGTTTGGCTTTAACTTATGTCAATAAATTTCATAATTCATTTTTTAAATTATAATTATTACATACAAAAAATGCTGCGATTATAAAAAGTATCCTTTTAATTATGTCCTATATTATAAAAACTGCTCGTTTATTATTTTATAGCTTTAAATAAATTATTATTTTGTCAATCATTTTGATTAAACTATTAGAATAAATTAGAGCAATATTGAAATTATCAATTTTTTGCAATAAACATTAAATTAATTAGTATTATTTAATAACATTGATACAAACACACATCAATGCTTCCTAGTCTTATATTTTGAGATTAGAAATGGAACGCGATACAGGATTGTTTTCGTAATTGGCCATCAGTCAAAACGAAAAAAAATAAACAGGCAATTGCGACACAACGCATCGGCTTGAAACCGTTCAGTGCGTGCACGTGCCAATGTTTGACCGGAAGTCAGGTTACATTGTTCCTCCCTAACGGATGCACATCTCCATGGCTTTGTATACGATCTCTTGTTTACGATTTCACGTCTACGTATGCAGATGTATGGTCCCTTTCTTCTCCACGCGCCGAATCTAACTGGTGACTCCAACGCGTGGTAAGAAAGCCAGCACCGAAAAGGTGATTCACCTAGTTACGTTGCACTTTTACTTCCAAGGAATGACATGTGTCAAAGTTTAAGCAAATCCATCATACATGCATACACAATAAAAAACATTTTTCACTTGTGTTAAAACTGGCCCTTGTTAAAATTTTAGTTAAATTTTTAGCATACTTGAGTGTAAATTTAATATCATGTAATTTGTATATTTTGTTAACATTGTGTTAACAAAATATACTATTAGTTATTTGAATATTTTGTTATTTAAATAATTTCTCTGTATGTGATATATAACATTTCTTAGTAATAAAATGACAATCCAAGCAAATAATCTAAGTTTAAATAATATAAAACTAATATAATTTTAAAAATAAATTCTACATGAGATGAACAAAAGATGTATATAGATACATATTAATTAAATATATTATAAATATTAATTTTAATGAATAAATAAGCTTCCACAATTTATTTCCCAATTATGTTAAAATGTTATAAATTTTAAATGGTTGAGATAAATTTTAAATGTTACAAATTTTGTATTAATTTTTACGTAATGTCTGTGCGTGTTACTTTCTAATATATTTATTTTATATTAAATCGATACAAAAATTAAAGTGTACACGTTAAATATATTAAATTTTACATAAATTTTCTAACAGTGTATTAAATGAAAATATGTATAAACATAAATATATAAAAATTATTTTAAAAAAGTATAATTCAAATAAGAAGATAATTTGATAGATCAAATATTTCGACATATATAATATGTATAGAAGAAATTATGAATGAATTTTATTTATACAAAAAATAATTGAATTATTTTGTCATTACAGAATAATGTGGTGAAAGGTGCATTAGTCGAAACAGGATAATGCAAACATTGCATAAATTAATTAAGTGTCTTATCTTTCCGTTTGTTAGCTTCGTGGCATTGAAGCTGCGTTTTATTTTTTTCTCGGCTTATTATTCTCTATCCCGATTTTCATCGGTTTTGCGTTCATCATTTCCGGTGAAATATGTCTTCTAGCTGCTAATTGCACGATCGGACGCGACGATTCTGAATGTTTATGCATTGTTTTTTTTTCTTTATTAACATTAATTAATATAATATTTTATAATATTTTTAATTATTATATAATGTTGGATATTTTAAAATCAAAATAAGAAACAGTAACGCGGCTAATTAATCATGTGTCAATTTTTTTTAATTTCTTAATTTTGTAACGTAATATCGCGCGCGCGCGCGAAACCATGGCACATTTACTTAAAATTTCGGCATAGTGAAATTATTCATGAGTTGCATTTAGGACGCATTCAGATTAAATTCAGAATAGATTTCGTCTAACTAGGCGTTTCGTACGCGGACGAGAGAACATGTTCGTGTAACACGGGTAATTAATGAATTACTTCATGTTACCACCTTAAGAGAAAGATGATGCGTGCAGGTACGGTTCACTCACTGTTATTGTTACGCGATACATCGTGAGAAGCGCAACGATGAAAATGATAATTTTAATATACTGTACTAAGGTTTGTAAAAGTGGAGTATTTACGAAATATTTTCCCCACCACCCCACCACATTATGCATATTGCACAATCGTTATGTGACGAAGATAATTTTTCTCATGGATTCACATACATTTTTTTTACAATCACTGTATAAATTTATTTATGAATTTTGAGAATTGGTTTGCGGAAAGATTGAAAGACTATCACGAACTTTAACTTACCGCCATTGTTTCATAGAGTAAAACCGCGCCAAGAAGCAAAAGAGCGCAGATGATTACTTGGTGCCTTGAAATCATCTAAAAAGAGTTAAAAATTTAATTACTCTATAATATTAATGCATATAATTGAAAATATATAAATTAATTTTTGTACAGATAAAATTAAATTGACAAATATTTATTTTGCTAAATTTATTTTACTATTATATATAGTTTTAAAGTATTTTTGTAAATTATTTTTGAGTATTTTTTAAGAAATAATAAAAAATAATGGAAAAAATTGAGTGAAAGATTAAGCGATGTGCTTACCTTTCCGAAATATCTGATCCCCTTAGTCCGCAGTGTCGTAGTGCGTGGTGATCATTTATCTTTCCGTGTTCCTTGTCCTTTTAGGTTTTCGTGTACCACACTTATTCAATTTTCTTTAGGTTCGTAAGGCGATGCTACTTCCAAAGTATCTTTCTTAAAGGATTGTTCTATGAGGTGGTGGTATATATATGGCTTTAGACATCAGCCAGACAAAAGGGGGGATTCTTGAGAGTCTCTCTTTCTTGGGGCTCCCACATCAGACGAACGGAGAAAGAGAAGATCCCAGAGCGGTGGAAGGAGGGATGTTCTTCTGTGGTGCAGCAGATTCTTCTCTTATGCAATCGTCTCGTGCTCTAACACCCGTGAAAATATTCGTAACCGTCGTACTTGAACCGTTGTGATACCTATGTCCTTCTTTCTGTCTCCCTCCAAATAGAAGAATCTCCGAATAGTTATAGTTATCTATTTATTTCTCTCTTATTTCTTTTGCATGAGAATCTTTATAGAAATTTGCCAAACTTTTATAAAGCCTTGAACTTAAATTTTTTATCGTATGTATAAAATTAAAAAAAAGGAACCCTGAAAAAAGGAATTAACTGAAATCCTTTTTTTAATATATTGTCTCGTAGAAATATTAAGTTCATTTAAAGAGTTAAATTAATTTAAAGAAGATTCAATATCTCACTCGATCAAGATACGCTGAATAAACTAGCTACTTTTACTTGGAAGTTATGTGTCTAATTATTCTGGCTGCTGTTAGAATTGCAAACGACTAAGGAAAATGCCAGTTATGCAAATAAAAATATAGTTCATATCCAAGGAAAGCAAATTTTAAAAATCTGCAATTTAATTCGCATCTTTCATTAGTGAGAAAGACTACGTTTTTTAAATATTTTTTTTATCATGTATAAGTACAAATTTTAACAGAGCGAATTTAACTGTACTTAGTGCGCACTGATGCACGTTAAAGCCATCGTACACAAATTAATGTAAAAAGATATGTGTTTAATATAAATATAGAAACAGATTAAATCATGAATTCCTCAATACATTTTATTATACTATTAAAATTAATTAAAATATTAAATAAAATCTGTGTTTTACTTTTGAAATATTTGCATTTTACTTTTACACAAATTAAATCAGTATACTATACGGCTTTAAAATATAATGAAGAGAATTATACATATATTGAATATAAATTCTTATTTTTGTAACGTCAGTATTCAACACTTTCTTACTTGGCTGGAATATGATTGACGTATCATTTTGTTACATAAGCGATCAAATATTCTTAGCTCGTGCGATCATATCGTTAATTATTGTTTTGTGCGTCTACGCTGAAGAGGGTTGAGATCAGCGCGCTGATCTCTTCAATCAGATACGATCCTTTTTTTCTTCTTATTTTTTAGTTTAGATTTTTCCGCGAAACGGAAATGCTCATCAACAGGTCGGATCCCGAAATGATTCGTTCTTATCGTGCGAGATACATCCAAGGTTACGCTGTCGCGCAACGCTCCCGCTTGTCCGTCATAACACGTAGATTCAACAAATGTGAATCTACGTCCATTCTGTCTCTCATTGCTCCTTGGAGTTCTCGTGATGATACAATGGCGTAATGCGACATACACCATTTTTGTTTTGGCAACTAACACTTTCACCCTGAATCATAATGACACAATTTCAGTATTACGATCTATGCTAATGTTGGTATCCCCTAATGCGATCCTTTAATGGCCATTGGTGGATATTGAGGTGCACGGATTCATACCACTATTATGATGTAATTAATTACACAATATGAAGAAGACACTTCAAGACCTTTAATTAAAAAAATTTTTTTGAACGGCTCGTTGCTTTTTTGATCTGTGGGACAGTGATGACATTTGCGAAGATTTCGTCGACAGCGATTGCTTCGGGAAAAAATCTTCATGAAATAAAGACATTAAGAACATGACCTTGTGATATATCACAGAATTAAGAACTGCGCGTCATATCTTGTGCAAGGTCGAGCTCGTTCATTTGCATTTTGTTGCACGCGCGTCAGCATCTTCCGCTCCGAACCCCTTCATTTTCGAAACGCGTTTTGTGCCAATTAGCGATGGATAATTGACAGTTACAAGCTTTTCCAGATTGACATGTAAACTCAGAGGAAAATTAGACATCCGGCGGTTATGGATCGCTGGTCACCCACGCTACGAATTATGCGTCATCGTTTTTTCCTTTGAAGCAAAAAAAAACTTCAAATATATTATATATTATATTTTAAATTCTCATAATTATTTTCGATTTTAAAGGATTAATTATATTTTTCAATTTTTTAAATATTATGTAATAATAAATACAACTAAAAGCTGTGTAAAGAAAACTCTTTTATAGTAATACATTTTTTACACCTTATAGAGCAATTCTTTGATTACGTTGCATTACGTTTGTCGATTTTATGTTATTAAAACATTGCATCATGCATATACAGACACAATAATAGCATGTATTTCAAGCACAACAGGAAACAAACACTAAGACAGCGCATCCCTCCTCTCATTACGGCCGATTTCGCACGGATCATATTGCAGTTCGCGTTGCGTGCGGATGCGAAGTGCCACAGACCGCGGGCGTAGACTGTTGTTCTTAATTAAATTATCTGTCTGGTAGCTAATTAGATATCGGAGCGATTACAAAATAAACGTGACAACCGTGGGAAGATCTGTTTATTACTTTTACTCGTGAACGAGACTGCGCCATCAATAAGAAAAATATCGCTCCCGTTCATTGGATATGTGACTTGTCATTAATCAATTATACTGTAAAATAATCTTGATTTAAATTTACGTTAAAAAATATTGATCTGAAAACCTTAACAAGGAAAGGCTAATTCAAAGATACGTATATAAAGGCTAGAGTTTATAATACAAAAAAGCGTTTAAGTGTAATTTTATAAAAGCACTTAAATAAGTGTACACGTAATTTTCTTACAACAAATTCTAATATAGACTCGATCAAAAAACTTTTTGATCGAGTCTATATTAATGATTAAAAAATGTTCCAATTCTTGTCAATAAGAGTATAATGGAGTATTATGTGTGAGAAATGTATGAAGTATTTTGGAGGAACATTTCTCGCGCTATTCGCGGCCCAGCATCTTCGCACGATGCTGTCTGTGGTGTATAATCCCGCGTAATTTCATAACGCCTTGACTTCCGAGCGTCTTCTTTTCTGTCGCCGGATGCCAACAAAGAGGTATGAAAGTTATTCTCACGTTTTTAACATTCGCCGAGCATAAAATAATTCATCGCGGATCAGTGATAGTTTCTGGAAGAGAATCCGAGAGATTTCTGAAAGATTTGTTGATCGCCGACGATAAATTCGACGATACAATAAATATCTTGTGAATTGCGACACAAATGCCATTATTAATACTTTTAGCTCTCAAGAGAGAAATGACTTCGCAGGAGAAGCATTGTTTCCATCTGTGTCTGTACCGTTTCATATTAATTGCTGGTGTAAATGCTGATTTAATTACGAATCTTGCGTATATTTTCTTACGTCATATTACGCAATACGATTATGATTAATGTCTGCGCGAAATGAAGGATAGAATGGGAGCAAACTGAGAGAGATGCATAGATTTGACGGAGAATAATTCGGATTTAACTAAATTTTGTTTCTCGCTATTAAAAGTTTCCGAAGTTGTTGCGTATCGTTTCTGCTGCATGAATTTTATTGTGTTTTACTTATGTAAGTAATAATAAGGATTATAATAAAAACTAAATGTCGGGAAGTTGCTCCGCAACAATGTTAATGAGTTATTATTACTATATTTCATGTACGGAAGATATAACTTTAATTACCATTTCAAAAATTGTAATAATTTACAAATGACTATAAAATTATGTGCGTAAAATTAGCACCGCCATTTTGAAAAAAAAATAAAATAAAATTTGTGCTGAATTGTGCTAGATTTGTGCTACATTGTGCCGCAAGAATTAATGACATAACTCAAAAAACAAAGCGTTAAATTGAAAAAAAAAACGTTTTTTTCGCCAGCACCGCCATTTTGTTTAATCGGCAAAATAAACATTGTGCTGAGTTGTGCTCGATTTGTGCTACATTGTGCCGCAAAGATTTCAGCCGTTCTTTCATAACACCAAAAGTTATGACTAAAAATAGTTTTTCCCTCCGTGTTCGGTTTTTTGCCCATAAATCGGGTTTGTAGTGCTTCCATGTGATCGATACTGTATATCTGAGTTGTGCTATCGTAGCACAACTCAGCACAACCATCATATTCACCGGCACAGCGATATTAAGGGTACTTTACTCTTGAGCGCGATCCTTCGCGCAATGCTTTTTTGTTCAAAATTCGGGTTTATTATGCCTCCATGTAATCGATACTGTATATCTGAGTTGTGCTAGCGTAGCTAAATATATGAAAATGGATTTCGGTTTTTACAAGAAGTATTAAATGAGGGTTTTCAAAATGGCGGTGTTAACTTCACGCACATTATAAAATTACTGTGTTCTCTGTAGGTGCACTGAAAAAGGAGTTAATTGGTAATAGCTACGAAATGTTTAATATTGTCAATTAAACGTTTGATTAATATAACTGGAAATACTTCTACATTCTTAAATATTTATACTAACCAAACATTTTTAATTGGCATTATTTTACATAATATTTATAATAACTATTATCAAACTTTTTTTTAGTATATGCAGACGTGTAACTAGATACTCTACGCGATACACATTTTACGATAGTTGAATTAATTAATTCTCGCGATTTCTAGAAACTGAATCTAAGAAGTTCCATTTCCTCGTCGCGCGATTGTAATTAATCTCAGTGGCGTCAGACTTTATCGCGTGTCAAGTTCGGTTTATTGCAGATGTATCAGCCTTTTAACTCAGAGACATTGTGCGTACGTGTACGCCTATCGTGGCTCGTTCGTTCCGTTTTATCAGTCAGCGCAATTCCGAACGCAACGGCGCGGCGCGCTGTTCCACATTTTCAGTCACACGTACACGACAGTGCATACCGCAGGCGGCTGTCAATCGTTCTCTCCTAGACATTCCGGTCTCGGAACATCGTCGTACAGAGCCGCGACGGGCCTCGTTGCATGCGGATGCATCGTCGCCGCATCCGTCGTCCTGCCAGACGCGACGATGTTTCCGGAAGCGTGGGCTTTTTCAGCCGTCGCCGTCGTCGCTCGTCGCAGGTGCGTCGAACGGTAAGATCGAGATCGGTTGATTGCATCTGGGTGGAACGTACATCGAAGTTACCTCGATTTAAAACGCGTTGTGCGTATACACGCGTGCACTTGTGTGTGTACCATATATGTGACCTCGTCAATCATGTCAACCGTCGCTGAGCGCAGAAAAGTGAAGGTAAATAGTCGAAGGTAACCTGTTGCCTTTGTATATTTTAATACTTCCGATCGTTTTCGAATCGTGTGTTGCGAGTGGCAGGATTCCGCGCGATCGCTATACAGATCAATCTTTTTGTCCGAATGGATCGTGATTTCTCTGATAAAGAGCATCGCGTTTGTGTTTCGTCGCGCGTTGCGACTTGCCGCAACTCGATTCCCATCGGGTCGCGACGATCATTGTAATTAACATGGGGCTATTGTTTAAATTAACGATCGATGGTGCCGCGCTCGACGTAGCTATCGTAAGTTCTTCGTCCGATAGTTTCGCTCCCGTCTTGCCATGCTTATGCAATTGTACGCATCCATGCGTTTTGCGCCACCGAACGATAAATCGCTCTAAGTCGAATAATTGCGCGTTTCCTCGTCGCATATTCAACAACGGTTTGATCGTAAATCCATGACGTGTCGCCTTTATCGCGGATCATGACTGTACCAGATATGATAAAATTTAATTCAATAATCGTGATGACGCATTTTGTATTGCTTTGTTTGAAAAAAAATTATAACGAAAAATTAATTTTTGAATTGAATAATTAGTGAATCATTTGCACGTGATTAAAAAGTCATGAAGAACTCACAGGGAGTTTTTTTTAATTCTATATGACTGGATAAAATATATCTATCTTGTTATCGTAGCTTATCTATTTGATAACTTCTTTATCTAATTGTAAGTTTACATTTATGAAACATTGTATTTTATCGTAATGTTTTACGGGCTGTGTAGGAAAACAGTTTTAATTGCAAAAATGAAGAAGCATAAAGGCGATAACTGGAAGACCGATGAATTGGCTTGAACGAGGATTTAGTTCCATTTGTGCGTTATTCGTTGCATATCGTAGGAGCATCGACGAAATGAAGATAGACGAAAAAAAAAAGGGACACCAGACAGTTTTTATTGAACGCCGCGCTATATGAAACGATTTTTTGTGTGCGTAATTTTTTTTACGGTTTGATTTTATCGGAAATCTTGATATATTGAAATTAAAAAGACATATGCTTGTATTTCTGCGAACTCGTATTAGAACGATTTAATCATAGCACGACGTACCGTAAGGTTTTTCCTCGACGAATTCAATCCGCCTCGCCGTTCGAATTCCGTGAGTACGTATGCGTGGCACGCATCGTTAAAACTCCTTCGTGACACAACCGTAATAACTTCCGGTCAGACATCCAGCGACGCTCGCTTCCGGTTCCCACCCTACCACGTGTATGAAAAGGGGAATTGGTTGATTTTGCGTTGTCAGATATAATCATCGGCCAAATATAACGTCGTATAAATTTTCGCGGCGTTTGCAACTTTTTTCTTTCAACGAGCGCGACGAGAATGTACGGTTATATCGACGTCCAATGTGCTGTATTATACAGGCAGTGCGATTGTCCGCGCGGCATCAGAACATTTTTTTTTTAATAATTCTCTTTATTATCTTTTATTGTATAAGAAGTCGAGATTCTGCAAGGTATAGTCGAGGAGAATAACGGAAATCTAGAAAACCGTAATAATGAGCAGCGATTCCATTTCATCTGCTAACGCTACCGTTATCGAACGTTCTCTTCTTATTGCTCACGCACATACACGTGAATGCTAATTAATTTTATCGAGGTGTTTTCTAATTTCTCGATGGTATGCACGATAATAATTGATTTAACATATAAACGCCTGTTTTACACAATGGCGATTCCGTCGCGCCGATAAAAGATACTTGTGCGTAAAGTAGAAAACCTTGTTTTAGAAGATGTTTTTACAAGACACCCGTTAAGTCGTTGCTCGCGTTAACAGTTCTGCTATTGTACGCGGGTGTAACACAACGACAGGTGTACAGCTACGTACAGGGCGTTCTATAAAATTTCCTCTTCCTTTTTTGTATGTTATTGGTTGTGCCACTTTTAGATTCTTTTTCTAAAACTTTTCTAAAAATAATATTCCGCATTGCACGAATAAAGACCATAAAATGTATGCTTTAATGGCAATCTTTTCATAGAATTATTTTTAATACATATACTTATTTAATATATATTTCTTAATACATTTGACGGGTAATTCAAATATTTTGATAAGAAAAAGCATTATAATATCATTTTAATAAGAAAGCAATATAAAAAAATATTATGTACATATATATGAAAAAGGATAAGATTTTTTATTTAAAACATTAAATCTGTATTTTCCCACGCTGAGATCGAAACTTTTATTACGCATTCTCAAAATAACGCTCGCGGGTGTAAGCGTGAACAACAGAAACACACCTGTAACCGACGGAATACATTAATGAATTCTTCCTCACCTGACTATCGGTCACTTGACTCATTTCCTGTGGATTGAAAGAACCCCCGGTACGTTTAAAATCGCCGATACAATTGCATCCCGCGCATCCGCTGTCGGGATGTAATCACTGGGACGCGGACAAAAACCCGTCATTGTCGCTACGCGTATTGCAGAGAACAGTGAAAGTTAAAACAGTGAATGTCTGACCGTTGTATAAAATTTTTATGTACGTTTATTTATTTTTAATATAACAAGGATTGGAGCTGCGGAACATAAATTAAAATACAGAATATTTAAAAATTATGGCAAAGTAATTCCAGAAAGGAAAACAAACGAGTAGGTAATTATTATTGTTGGAAGTAATAATATTGTACAAGAAGAGAGAATTAGATCGGAATAATAAGAGCGCAATTCTTATTAATTTTCTTATACGTCGTAATACTGTAAATAAAGGTTCTGTCCGAGCGATTTTATTATAAATAGCACAAATATATGACCGTTCGATGCAGTGAAGTGGAAGAAAAGGAGGCTTCAATAGGAACCAGTACGATGCAAGGTGCAACACGTGCTGCCCGACAGCTGTTTTCCGGTTTAAATTTGGACGTTAAGCCCATTTTTAATTTCGCGCCCGGACGAACTTTCAAATAATAATAATTATAATGTGACACGGGGTGAATCCTCCTTGTCTGCTCTAAATTTGCAAGCCATTTATCGAAATGTGCGGTTTATTCATGTACGAAAGTTGCATTTTAGGGAAATACGACCCGGTAAAAATATTATGTATAGATTATCGCAAGAATTGTAGATATCTCCTGTATTCCATTGTTTAAAAATTATTAGAGCTTTGACAGCACGAGAGAGAACAGTGCATCTTCATTGGCAAATTATTTGCAGGTAGTCTGTTATTTCAGCTCGTTGTAAGAAACGAGAGGAAAAAGCAAAGAGGAAATAAAGAGTGGCAAATTTTGTATTCGTCATCTAGCAATGGAGGACGAGGACTTTGGTTTCGCGAAGAGAACGGACAATGTCTTAAAGAAGGTTTTTACTGTTAATAATGAACAAACACACAAGAATACAATTCATAACGTTGGACATCTAATCCGTTCTCCGCCAAAGGTTGGTTCCTTATCGGTGTAGAGTAGAAAGAATTTTTGTAATATTTTATTAGGAACATAATAATTAATGTTTAACATAAATCTACAGGAAGCCTCATAGAGATATACTTTCACATTTTATATGATCTGTTTATATAACTACACATTTTTTAATTACGTATGTAATAATTTCTTAAATAATTAATTTTTTAAATATTTCCAACAAAAATAAATATATTATAGATTTTTGCTTGTATCATTTGAGTGTTAAAAAAGTCAATAAAATAAACAATATGTGAATAGTGATAAACAAAGATTTGTGGAACAGATATTGTTAAAACATGAACATAAAACGTATAAATTTAGATTTTAAGAGGAACATATTGTAGAAATATGAAAGTAAACTGATGTTTACAACTTGATAAAATGCAATTAGACATCGGAAGTCGTTGGTGGAGGTGGATCAACGACACCAGCGCCTCTGATTGGGGCCGGAAGCGAGGGCCCTCAACGCGCGTCAACCGCCGCTGGTTCAGTCGTGCCCAACACGCCGAACATACCGAACGTGGTAGAGTACCATCTTAAAGTCAAGCCTAGGTCAACGACAAGGCACTGCCGGCTCGATAACGTTCCCGTGAGTAGCGTTTTCAGACTCTCTCGTGGAGAACGCAGGTAGAAAGACGCGCTTAGGATTGTTTGTTGCGATAGGATTGATTTGCCGTTTCCATTAGCATTTATCATAAAATATTTGCAGAGTATACGAAGCATTGTAACTTATCCCGTTATTCTACCATTCCACTTTTCCTTCATTTAAATTCATGACGCGTTCGAATTCTTTTCCTATTCGTTAGACATTTTTTATGTTTTATTGATTAGATTTTAGTTGAGATGATCACTCTTGAATTATTTTAAAATTTTAGTCCTAAAATAATTAGATCAGTAGATCCGCGCGTTAAAAATATATATGTATGTGAATTTGAAACAGAGAGATCAGCCTTTAAAAGAGATGAAGAAGGAGAAGGTGTCTTCTGACGATAAGAAGAAGGATCTCGTGTCGAAGTTGTCACGTCTGTCCATTGATAATAATGTTTTTGAGGGCTCTACTGATCTGCCGCAAGTATTTCAGGTATAATTTTCATATTTTTAAATATATATATTAAAGAGAGATGAGAAAGTTTGAACTTTTCTTAATTTTACATTTTATTTGTTCCAATTTAATATGAATCATCAAAATATAATAATATACGACATTCGTATAATTTATATACAATATATATTTTTTCTATTTTACGAAATGTAAAATAATACTAAGAAAAGAAGAAAAAGATTTTATATGAGAATTTTGGAATATTAAACCAAAAAAATAATATTTATAATATTTATAATAAAATAAAATGACACATATTTTTTTATTAAAAATAAAGAATTTATTTGTCACTAATTTTTTTATGATTAATATTGTAATTTTTTTCAAAGATAATTTTTAAAGAGTTAAAAGGAGGTCGAAAAATTTCGAAACTCTGTTCCAAGAATTTTATCCTTAGGAAGTTCGTTGCGCATTTGAGTCTTGTAGGTTGACTCTTTCAGGTGAAATATTTGGGATCCCATGATGCAAGAGGCCTCTGGGGCATCAAGCACACAAGAACACCCGTCGATAATATGGTTTCTGCTGCGAAGGCTTTGCCGACTAACACAATGCTGCCTCTTATCAAGCTAGTAGTTTCTCAGGAGGGAGTTGCCTTGCTGCCACTAGACAAGAGGAAGCAGGATGCTAAATTATCCAGAATGTATCCTATTGAGACGATTTCCTACGGAGTGCAAGATCTAGTTTATACTAGGGTCTTTTCCATGATTGTTGTTCGCGAGACGGAGAACTTCAGGAGAATCTCGCCATTCGAATGTCACGGTTTTGTCTGCGAGTCGAAATATTATGCGAGGCAATTGACGTACGCTCTTGCTGCAGCCTTCGAAATGTACTCCAAGATCGTAAAGGCTCAGGAAAAACTAACCGGAGTCAGCGCAAGCACCGCCAGGAAAAGATTTGCGATCGACCTAAGAAGCCCCGAGGAAATTGAGGCGGATCTTACGATGGATTCCGAAGCGTAACTTTTGAAATTTAATATCATTTTTTAGATTAAGATACACGTATAAATATACTAGATATAAATTTTTAATTAGGAGAGTTTAAAAAAGGGGCATTTTTGAAAAAGATTTATACAAAAAATATAAAAAAAAGAGTTTGAAAGCAATGAGTGCATGTTTACAGTATATTTCGAAAATTGTTTCGAAATATGATTTTGTATCTTATATAATGCGAATAGATTTTTTTATTATATACCTCCAATAATATTTTTTTGAAAAGGACAATGCAGGGTAGAAAGTAGTTCTAGATTTTCAAAAAGGTATTATCATATTTTTGTTACTTCACAAAGAGAGTTATTTACATTAACTTTTAATTTTTCAGATATTCTATAGTTTTCATACACAGTATATTGTTTAAAATTGAAATTAGAGAAAATACATTATTTTTTACAATGCATCAATCAATCAGGTAATAGAAAAAGAAAATTTAATTTATCTCGTTTGCATAAAAATAAATTGAAATGCATTTAGTAAATATATATATATATATATTATAAATAAAAAATAGATAAATTTATGTAAATAATTGTAGATACAGTCATAATGATTATCTCAAGTAAATAATTATTTTTTATTAATATATCGTGGATTCAGCACGTTCTATATCATATTTCTGAAAAGAGAATTTTTATGTCAGAGACAGAAAAAATATATTGTATTTTATACGGTATAAAGTTTTTTTTTTTTAATATATGTGCTAAATCTATGTATCCCTTACGAATTGATACGCCAATTCAAAAATGAAAGAAATATTTATAATCAGAACGTTGTTATATATGAATACGTGTGTTTGTATAATTGTTGTTGGTTTTATTATTTTATCGGCATTACGAAAAGGTAGATAGGTCTCGGTTATTCGAGACACGATAGCTAGCTATCCAAAGATATCAAATAGAAAACGATGGAACGCAAGAGATGTGGATGATATTTCCAGCGTCGCGACTTGTACGATTTCATGAAAATTTTACGATTGACGAATCAGATGATGGTTTTGGATCTATTTCTAGCTGTCTTAAGTGTGCATGTGTGTTTCTAGTTTAAGTTTTATTATTCTAAAGCTACGCGTAATATTATAACATTAACGGAATCTACTCGTATAATAACAGAGTATTGCATTTAATACACTTTTTATACTTTTCTCAGTCGCTTTATATTAAGTTTACAAAGGACCAATATCGATACATATCATTTATTGTAAATAGATAATGTTGTCAACAACACATTTTTATTGTTTTGTACATATTGATTATTTAAGTTCTTTCTTTGATTTATTTTCAATACGTTTGCGAGTTGGCGTCACGATTTATATATACGTTTTAGGCTTGGGACAATCGTGTAACGTTTTTCCTTTTTACAATCGTAGCCTTTTGCGCTTTATCTATCAGTATTAGATGTATATTTCGCCTGTACTTATATTATTAGTCATAAAAATTATTTACATGATTTTTACCTCAATGTTCAGGATCTTTTTTTTAATAATAATGTGTGCATTATATTTCTTTTAGAATATTATGGTATGAATACAACAAGTTAAAAGAAATTGTCAGCTTCTTTTCTAGCGTTTTTTATTTTACTCGATAAATTACATATGTATATGAACGTTTCATATATATTTTACACATGATTACGTACACATAATTACAACTTATGTTTCACATGTATTTTACTGGTACTGTACAGAATTTTATTTTACACATCATATAACTGAAAGATTTTATATATTGTACGTGTGACAATAATTAAAATTTTAGTTTTATGTGCTATCTTTCATTACGAGAGCTTTTAGCAGGCAAGTTTATTAGCGATTAAATTCTAAAACTCTAAATGAGCGTTTTGTCAACCTTGAAACAAGCTAAAATTTTTTTATCGAATTAGCTAATCACAATAATCACCATATTTCATAGAGCGATTTCTTTTAAGTAGGAAAAAATATATCTCTTTTAATAAAGCTGAAGCGACCTCTCTTCATTTAAAAATCTTGGATTTTTCGGGAATGATTTTTTCGGCACCGTTTCTACTTCAGGTTCCAAAATCTTCGTCGCATTTTTTTTCCCTCGGTCCTGATCGGCTTCTTCTTCTTCTTCCACTTCCTTTCCGATGTCCTCGTTCAAGACATAATATTTCTCCGATTCCTCGCATGGTATCGAGCTTTCCGTTTGTGTACATACGAATGTTGCCTATAAACAAATCAGAATATTGTACTGCCTTTACTTTAAATCAAACAAAAAATAAATTGTTACCGTATTTGATATCAATACAAAAATATTTCTTAATTTTTTTTTGCTATGAAAATATTTCGAGAAGTAGAATCAAACATTGTAAGTTTTGCAACAAAATGATATCACAGTCCTGTAACCAAGCAATAATGGTATGTGGATTCAAATTTAACAATTACTTACTTTTTATATGTACATTGACGCAAATAATCATCATTCTATTGTATAATTTGGTAATTTATGAGGTTGAATAGAGTGATATTATCTGCGAGCAATGAGGAAGACTTTGTAAGTCGAAACGTTTACGACAATTTATATTTGTATAGAAATAAAGTAATTCTTATTTTTAAATTCGTCATCAATGCTTGGTTAGAGATCAAGATGTCCAGGATGTCATTGTATTGCGTAATAATTTTACAAGCGGATTTTTATATTATTTGTATGTTCCTTCAACTCCTATATGTGGAGCATAGAGCTTCTAATCAGGTTTCAGTAACAATAGATTTTTTCTGGAATTAGAGTGTTAGTGTAATATCCAACTACCAGTTTAGGCAA